TGGGACACTCTGGACCCAGTGTGGCAGCCAGCTGTGTGCTTCTCTTGGGGTGATCAGGCTTGATGGGGGTCCGTGAAGGGTCTTCAAGGGCTCCCCGCAGAACCCCTTCAGCCTGGGAGGAAGAGTCTGGCTGCCAGCATCCTGGGAGCTAGCTGAGTGAGTGGGGATGAGGGCTGGCTTGGCGGGGGCAAGGCTGGCTATGTCTCAGTTTTCCATATAGATCTCCCTTTTAAATTTCTCTTTTCTGACAGCTGGACTTGGTGTGGTCCATTCCAGAGACTTGTTTTAGCTTTTCCAGAGAAAAACCCTGCAGACTTCTGTGTGAGTGAGGAGGGGTCCTCAGCTGGGGTGGGGGTAGGGGGGTGGTCAGGGTCGGGGAGAGGCTGACAGTTTTCACTGCTTCTGAGGTTTTCAAACTATCTTCTTTACTTGAGCTCTGTCCTGCTTCCTGAGATACTTGGCACTTCCACTTTTCAAGTCTTTGGAGCTTATCCCAGTATAATTGGGATTGAGTCTTCATCTTCCCAACCGCCAGAGGAAGATCCAGTTTCTCATGTCTGCCAAGTCAGTACTACTGGTCTGTCTGCTTTTCACCTTCCAAATCCGTACTCCCTACCTCCCCTCTCATTTTCTTCATTCTTATGGGACTTAAAAAATGCTTTCATTGCTGTTTTAGTAGGTTTAAGGAGGCAGCAGTAAACAATGGGTTCAGTCTACCATCTTTTCTGACCACTTTTTTCCCCCTTCAATTTTATTGAGATACAACTGACATACAGCGCTGTGAAAGTCTAAAGGGTACAGAATAATGATTTGACCTGGCAAGTTTTCTAATGTAAAATTGGGTTACCAAGGAGAAGGGTGTAGGAGACTATATTCCAAACCTTGAGAATGAGTTATCTCAGGGAATGGCATTTCAATCCTTCTCATCTTTGGATTGTTTCATTTTTCTACTGTGAAGTACATTTCCCCTTTCTAATTAAAAATTGATATTCACACAGCCCATACACAGGTACTCACAGGGCATCTGTCCATGGCAAGACTGCTAAAGGGAGTGAGGACTGGAAGAAAGCTCCTTCTTCCTTAGAGGTAAGTAACAAGGACCATCTGGCTGGGAAGGCGGACACTGCTCCACGTAGTAATGAGTGAAGAAGTTGGACCAGGTCTGAAATGACAAGCACCAACCTCAGGAAACTTGTGTGCTGTCCTGCCCAGCCTGATAAGGAGAAGGGTTGAGTTTGCTGAGATAGGCAAATCATAGCTTCTACTGTAGTGATTTATTTTAGGTTTTTGAATCTTCCTCTCCCTACACAAGTGAAACAAGGCCCCTGAACTATTGTCTACCACAGGAATTCATTCAGGCAACTAATGTTGATGGTTTTCTAGCAGCAGATGCTGGCCCTGTGACGGGGGTCGGGGGCACTGCCCCTGGGGCAGTTAGAGGGACTTGTCAGACAAATGTGTTTTCAACACTGTGGATAATTAAAATCACAAACATACTTGATGTGGACATTTGGAGACCCACTCACCTGGACAGAGACATTCAACTTTTTTTTTTTTTACATATACAAAGGCATTTTTGTTTATTTTTACTTTTTTTTTCATTTATTTTTATTAGTTGGAGGCTAATTACTTTACAATATTGTAGTGGGTTTGTCATACATTGACATGAATCAGCCATGGATTTACATGTATTCCCCATCCCGATCCCCCCTCCCACCTCCCTCTCTACCCAATCCCTCTGAGTCTTCCCAGTGCACCAGGCCCAAGCGCTTGTGTCATGCATCCAACCTGGGCTGGTGATCTGTTTCACTATAGATAATATACATGTTTCGATGCTGTTCTCTCGAAACATCCCACCCTCGCCTTCTCCCACAGAATCCAAAAGTCTGTTCTGTACATCTGTGTCTCTTTTTCTGTTTTGCATATAGGGTTATCATTACCATCTTTCTAAATTCCATATATATGTGTTAGTATGCTGTAATGTTCTTTATCTTTCTGGCTTACTTCACTCTGTATAATGGGCTCCAGTTTCATCCATCTCATTAGAACTGATTCAAATGAATTCTTTTTAGTGGCTGAGTAATATTCCATGGTGTATATGTACCACAGCTTCCTTATCCATTCGTCTGCTGATGGGCATCTAGGTTGCTTCCATGTCCTGGCTATTATAAACAGAGCTGCGATGAACATTGGGGTGCATGTGTCTCTGACATTCAACTTTTAACTGCAGCCCTTCAGTGTGGATTTGACTTAGTATGCAGGCTTCTCCAATCCAAAATTACTGAAGTACCTTCTTTTGTAAGGTTCGTTTTCATGCACAAAGATCTTGAATCTATTGGTTGACTGTTGTTGTTACTACTCTTTTAGTATGGTGTGAGTTCCATTTATCCTTACAATTTAGAATATACTATATGGCCTTTTGGGCTTCCCAGGTAGCTCAGTGGTAAAGAATCCACTTTACCTACCATGTAGGAGATGCAGGTTCGACCCCTGGGTTGGAAAGATCCCTTGGAGAAGGAAATGGCAACCCATTCCAGTATTCTTGCCTGGAGAATCCCCATGGACAGAGGAGCCTAGTGAGCTACAGTCCATGGGGTCTCAGAGTTGGACACAACTTAACAACTAAACAACAATAACAAGAGGTGCTATGTATCAATAGTAATTCTGCCTCAGTAGTAGCCAGTTCATCCAATACTATGTATTGATGAAGCCATTCCGTCCCTTTCTGATTTCAAGTGCCATCCTTGACACGAACTAAACTCATGTGGGGGTTTTTACTAACGCATGTTCACAGACCCACTCAGGACCAGAATCTCTGGGAATAGGATCATATTTGGAGACCAGTACCTTGGAGCCTTACTACACAGGCTGGCTAGAGGACCAGCAGCGTCGTCATCACCCAGGAGTTGTGCATGTGTGCTCAGTCGAGTCTGACTCTGGGGCCCCATGAACCACAGCCCGCCAGGCTCCTCTGTCCATGGAATTTTTCTGGCAAGAATACTGGAGTGGGTTGCCATTTCCTTCTCCAGGAGACCTGCCCAAGCCAGGGATGGAACCCTCATCTCCTTCTTTCTGAGGGGATTCTTCACTGCTGAGCCTCTGGGGAAACCCTACCCAGGGAGCTGGATAGAAGGTAAAACTCTTGGTGGCCACACCAGAACTGCTGCATCCGAAACTCAAAGTTGGGCCCAGCAGTGTGTGTTTTCATTAGGCCTCTGGGCATTCTCATGCTGGCCACAGTTTGTGAATCACTGACGGAGGACTTAGGATGCAAGAAGAAGGCCACTGAGGTGACCGCAGCACTGATGGGATGACAGAACTATCCCGGCAGTTCTTGGTGAGCACTGAGACATGCATCATGGTTAACTCACTTTCTCCAGCTCTGCTTTCCTGTTTGCTGTCAAGAGAATTGGTCATAGAGTTGCATAAAGATCACACACACACACACACACACACACACACGAAGGGGTGGGAGGTCGCAGAATCGCTCCCTGCACCCCCCCCCCCCCACACACACACAGCGAGGGGCTGAAGGCTTCCAGCTGAAGGCCTTCGGAGAGATTGCTGAACACAAGCCCCAGCTGGGTCATGGATGCCCAGGGCTCCGCCTCACTCTCTCGGGAGCACACTGCCCCAGGGCAGAGGCACACACTGTTCTTGAGGCCTTGGGGTAAACAGGTGGGTCCCCTCACTTCCTGAGTGGTGGCGGGGGAGGGGCTGCAGGAGGCGGCACTCGGAGCCTGAGCTGGTTCTGCTGAGGATTAGGTCTGCGCTGCCTTGCCCCGCTTCCCATTTCCTGTGGAGGGACGTCACAGCCGCTAGGAAGATCTTTCCCTGTGAGCCCTGGGGAAGCAGCAGTAATCTGTCAGCGTTCCAGCCCCGAAGGCCAGGGGCCACGGTATGGACACGCAGAGGCGGTGGGAACCTGAGGCGGTGCCCGCCTGTCTGTGCAGAACCAGGCAGGGCTTGCTGCTGATGGACAGAAGGCTCAGCGGGGATCTTCTTACCCGCCACCTGAAACGGACATCACCTTCCAGCGTCCCATCATCTGATTCCCCATAATAGTTCCAAAGTAGGTGGCCTCTGGGCTGGGTTCTCAGTCCACTGTGGGATCAAGGCTGTGACACAGGGTTTCTTCCCCGTGAGGTTACCTCCGGGTACCTGACTCCAGGATTCCATCACACGGTCCCAAATAGACCACAGTTCATCAACCGGCTTGTCATGGGATCACCTGGGGTTCGTTCAGTTGCAGACGCCTAGGCATCTTTCCTGTGGGGCTCTGGCCTCTGAGGTTGGACCTGAGATATGGGTATAACAGGGGTTTACATGATTACTCTCAGCAAAACGGGACCCCCCAGGTGGGCATAGGGCGCTTTGGACAAGTGGGAAGAGAGAAACTCATGCAGGCCTATGAGCTAAATGCCCTCCTGATCTTGATTACCCTTTCAGTCAGCCTCCTCTGTCCCTCCCAGCGGTGACTCAAGAGGAGGGTTTTCTTGCTCTCCCAGCCTTGGTGCTTTGGAAACAGAACAGCTTTTCTGTTTTATTTTTTTTCTTTTTTTGCTGCCAGCTCTGGGGCCCCACCCTGGGTTGTCAGCAGCGGTGAGTGGGGTCATGACGGGGTTACGACACCTATTTTCTGAGGACAACTACTTTCTGAGGCAGGCTTGGTCTTCCTGGTGCCAGAGAAGCAGTCCAATAAAGGCCAGACTCGCGCGGGCGCTGGGGCGGCTCGGACCTCCGGACCCCCTAGGAGTTGAAGGCCCGAATGAAACAGTAGGTTGCGACTAGTTTCCCTCATCTTGGCAGGAGGGTACCAGACCGCAGTCTATGGATCCTTCTAGAAACGGGCGTTGCTAGTGGGGGTGGGGTGGGAAATCGGAGCAGAAACACTTGAAAGAGTTTGCTAGAAAGTGTTTCCCTTTGGGGAGGTGGGGCTGCACCTGGTGCGTCCAGACACGTGCGTGGCTTTGAGGAAGAAAATGGGTTTGGAGAAGGTTTTATTTCCTGCCCGCGTTCCCAGGGCGCCTGGCCGCCGACTCCCACAGCCGCGTGAGCAGGCGGGCGCCGGCCGTGGGATGTCTGCGCGTTTTCAGCGTTTCTGGGGGAAACCGGGCAGGGTGGCGGCACGCGGCGCTCCCTCCCGACCGCGAGGTCGCGGGCTCGGGGCTGGGCTGGGCGGCCAGCGGGGGGCGCCTGCGGCCGCTCTGCCGCCCCCGCCTGCACCGCGCGATCCGGCCCGCGGCGGCGCGGCCACTCGGGCGGCGGAGCGGCAGGAGCGGGAGCCGCGCGGAGCGGAGCGGGCCGGCAGGTGAGCGCGCGCCGGCGCCCGGCGGGGAGAGGCGCGGCCGGCCGGGCCGAGGGGGCGCGCGACCGCCCGTCGGGTCCTCGGACCCCCGCGCGGCGGGGCGTGGGCGTGGGGGGCGCCCCTGTGGCGTCCTCGCCTCCGGCCGGCGGGGGCCGCACCCAGACGGAGGGGTGGGTGTGGGCCGGGGCGGCTGCAGCCGGGCCCAGCGCTCGGCCTGCCTTTTCCCCGTCTCAGGAGCCGGGACAGGCGCGACCCCCACCCCTCCGCCAGCAACTTGCCCGCAGAGCCGCCCCCACCCAGGTCTTGCTCTTTCTCCGGCCCGAGCTTGGGATGGGTCTTCTCGGTCAGGTACTGCGGGGAAGACCCTGGCCCAGACAGGACCCCAGCGCAGGAACTGGGGCCCAACTCCGCTCCCCGGACGACGGACTGAGACCTCACTGAAGGGCATGGCTCTGTGCCCCCCCTGGGTCCGGCACCTTCCGACCGCTCTGTTGGAATGTCCACTGGCTTATGATGGTAAAGAGGGGCTGATTTGTCGGATTTCCTAGGCTCTGACGAGGCAGGGGCCCCTGGAAGATCAGTGTATTCTGTTTAAAGTAAGAAATAATTCAGAGAGAAAACTCAGGTAAGGGCAAGACTAAGGGCTGGCATTGGAAGCCGTCCAGCTACAGCCAGCAGTGAGCAGGACCCTCTTGCCTGTGGGGGGCCAGGGCGGTGTGTAGATGGAGAGCTGGCAAGACAGAAACCTAATCTTTCACGTGAAAGGGAAGCTAATGATCCCTGGTTGGGGGTGAAATGCTGGAGGCTTTCTCAGTGTGGGCTTTAGTTGTTCTCTCTCCTGGTTTATATCTTGGATCGCCTTTCCCAAAGGCGAAGAACGCTTGTTCTTTTTGCGGCCAAGAGCCAAAGCTGGAAAATGAGAGTTGGGACCCTTTCATTACAAGTGGAGCCTTTAAGGTGAGGGCCACAGGTGTCCTTAGAGGTTGGGCTGTGTCTGGAATGGCCACATGTGGACTGGCCTTAGATTCAGGGCCCTCATGGCTTGCTGAAGCTTCAGACCTGGTCCAGGATGATGTTCAACAGAAACAGGAATGAATGAATGACCAGCAGGACTGCAATGGTCTCAGGGTGTGAAGCTGAGGGGACTTGGCAAGCTGGGGCTCTGTGCCCTGAGAGGAGGGCCTCTGGCATTCAGTCACTGCTTTCCCACGTGGGCAGGTGCCCTCCTAGAGGGGAGCGTGTCCCACTGTGGACCTGGAACTGTGGGGGGAGATCCCTAGTGGAGTGAGGAGGCCTCATGGGAGTGGCAAGCTGGGTCTACAGAGGGCCTTTTGGATCTGCCTCCCCCTGTGCTGAATGTTTAGGGTCCTCAGTGGCTGGATCTTCTTCCTCAGCCCTTGATGCCCTCGGCCTTTCAAGCATGGTTGTTCTTGGGCCTTTTATGGAGGAAGGAGAGAAGAGGTGAGAGAGTTCCAATTTCTGAGGCCAGATGGCTTACAGAGCCGTGGCATGTCCCTTGTACCATTTGATCCTGTGAGTTAGGACAGGAATGATCAATGAGTGGGAAAGCTGAAGTCATCAAAGGGCCTGTAGCAAGTTAGGCCTGGAGTGGGGACTCCCTAGGCCTGGCCTTCTGGTCTTCCTGTCCAGTTTTGGCCTGGTGGAGTACCCATTAGGAGCTTGATCCCACCCCCCAGACAGTCTCAAGTGGGCCCATTAAATCCCCCTCAAGAGTGAAACATATTGCCTGTCCACCTACCTGCCCAACTCTTCCTTCTTTCTGTTCCTGACCCCCACTGGGGGGTGCTCTGGGGTTTTGCTACTGACTCTATCTTTTGAATCCCCTTCTTTTGTAACTGGGCTCAGAGGGACTGCTAATAGGGGGATAAAGACTTACATAGCCTCCATGGCAACTCCAGCAAGGGAACCTTGAATGGCCTGCCTGGGCACGAGGCAGAAAAGCAAGTTAGACATGGTCCCTGCAGTCGGAAGCCTGCTGGCCAATAGGGGTGACAGAGTGTTGCAGTTTAGTCCCAAAACACCTCTGTAGAGAGAGGCTCACAGAGCAGGCAGGCCATCTGTCTAGAAGGATAGATGGAGGAGTCTTCATTGCAATATCTTTGGGGGAGAGGTCTGTTAATAGAGCCTTTTCTTGTTTATTCATGCTTTCTGTATTTTCAACATTGTCTACGGTGAAGAAGAAAAGCAAAACTTTCTTTTTGTTTGTTCTGGAAGTGTTTCAAGAGCTGTTCTAGCTTCTGAAACTTTGAATTGGGCTTGCAGGTGAGGTCTGTAAACTTCCAAATTTAATACGGTGTGCAAAAGGAAGGTGCCAGGATTTTGAGATATTTCAGCACAAATTAGCCTCTAGAGTGGCCTGGAACTCAGGCAGTAGACGACACTTGGATCTGTTGCAAAGCTTCTTGTTGGCAGCGTCACCTCTCCTGCTGCGAGTCTGCTGGTATTTGTGGCTCACGACTGACTGTTGGAGAGCTGTCTGATGGGGCCTGGCTGGTGGGTGGACAGGAGCCAGAAGTGATGGAGGCAAGGTTGGTGGCAGCTTCCAGCCCTGAGCCACACCCATCTGGGAGCCAAAGAGTGGTTTCCTAAGCTGATGCTGCCTGGAATTGGGTTGGAATTGGGGGCAGGGGCTTTGGCCAGAGAAGATTGGATGAGTCCACATCTCTGGGGGTCCTCACTGAGGAAGCTGAGTTTTATTTCCTGAGCATGATCAGCCCACAGCCTCCCGCTCCTCTCTGCATGTAACACAGGCTGCGTGATGCCCGGGAGTCCTAAGTCCTCTCTGCTCCTTGTGGTGAGAACTCCACTCCCACCTCCAGCCCTTGCTCTTCCTTCTTCCTATAAACCCTTCTCTCCAGTCAACTCTGTCATGTATGTTAGGACACGCTCAGTCCCCTCTTGGACAAGTGACCCCAGGGGTGGTGTGGGCCAGGGGCATGGCTTGGGGGCTCTTTTGATTTCAGGCTCTGCCCCTGGGGTGTTTGTCTTCCTTAGATTTTTGGACATGGGCATTTGAACCTTGACTGTCACTTTAACAGGGGAAAAAGAAAGGCAGGAGCCATGGTCCTCCCAGCTCTCCACTGCCCAGCTTGTATAGAGGGAGCTAAATGGGGCCTCTCAGGTTAGGGTGGGCATTAGGCCAGGGCCATTGCCAAGTGTGGGGAGTTGGCAGTGGAAGGTCCGGCCAGTGTGTGCACAGGAGGCCACCCCTTCAGTTAATGACCACCTGCTGAGTGAGGTGGCTATGAGCAGCCATCCACCTGTTTGCAGAGAGGCACTGTTTTCAGTTATTAGCAACAAAGGCTAGTATTTGCAAGCTTTTATGCCTGGAGGACAAGAACACAGACTCTGGAGGGAATCTCTTGGGCTTGAGTCCAAGCTTAACATTTTAGCTGTGTGACTTTGGGCAGGTGCTTCAACCTCTCTGAACTTTAGTTTCTTATCGATAAAAAGAAGATGGAATAAGAATACTTATCTCAAAAGTCAGGAACAGCTCCTGATTAAGAGAGACCAAAGTGACATGACAACCAAATGCAATATATGAATCTGTGCTGAAAGAAATTGCATAAGGAATGTTATTAGGATAGCTGATGAAATTAGACAATGGGCTGTAGATTAGGCTCAGACTGTAAAGAAGCTGCCTGTGATGCAGGAGACCTGAGTTCGATCCCTGGGTCAGGAAGATCCCTTGGAGAAGGAAATGGCAACTCATTCCAGTATTCTTGCCTAGAGAATTCCATGGACAGAGGAGTCTGGTGGGCTACAGTCCATGGGGTTGCAAAGACACACGAATGAGCGACTCACACTTATAGATTATAGTGTATTAATATTAAATGACCAAATTAATATTAAGGACCAAATATAGGGCCTTGTTCTTAGGAAATGTGCACTGAAGTATTTAGAAGTTCACTGTATATATAAGCAGCCCACTCTCAAATATTAAAGAGAAACATATGTATAGACAGATAATAAAAGTGAAACAAAAATGATACAAATAGGCAAATCTGAATTAAAGTATAGCAGAGTTCTTTGTAGTTTTCATGTAACTTTTCTGAAAGTTTGAAACTATTTCAAAATACAAGGTTAAAAAAATGCCTAGTAGTTTGAATGAAACCACATTAAGGCATGTTACTTAGTGCCTGGCACTCATTGATTTTAGCTGCAATTGTTACTGTTGCTTTTTATTATCATTAATATGGACGAAGTGTATCTTATCTCCTGTTACAATACCTGGGCTATTTTTCCACTTTACAGATGACAGTTGAATTTCAGAGAGGTTAAGTGGGTTTGCTCAGGGCCACACAGCATTGAGCCCAGAGCACCTATAGGAGAACTGCTTGAAATTTATTTTGGATTAATCACCAGCATCTGAAACTGTGAGATTTTATGTAAAAACCCAGATTTCTTTTTTTTTCCAGATTTCTTTTTTTTTCCAGTTATATATATGTAATATATTTGTAGTTATATATATAAATTTTAATATGTATTTATTTTGCAGATTATTACTAGATAGTGAATATAGTTCCCCATGCTATGTGGAAAATCCTTGCTTATCTATTTTATATATAGTAGTGTATATCTGTTAATCCTAAAACAAACAAACAAAAAAAATGAAGTTGTTAATTCATGTCCAACTCTTTGCAACCCCATGGACTGCAGCCTGCCTGGCTCCTCAGTCCATGGAATTCTCCAGGCAAGACTACTAGAGTGGGTTGCCATTTCCTTCTCCAGAGGATCTTCCTGACCCAGGGATTGAACCCAAATCTCCTGAATTGCAGGTGGTCTCCTGCATTGCAGGCAGGTTCTTTTACCGACTGAGCCACCAGGGAAGTGGCCGGCTAATCCGATACCCCTAATTTACCCACTCCCTCTTCTCTTTGCGAATTGTAAGTTTGTTTTCCAGGTCTGTGAATCTGTTTCTGTAAAAACCCAGATTTCTGATTTCCTTTGATAACTCAGAAGGCTTGCAGCATTGGCCGCACTCCTCTGGGGCAGCTACTGGGTGAAGCTTGGCAGCAGATGGTCCTCACACAGAGCTTCCAGTTTGCCCTGGTGCCCAGCCAGCCAGCCTGCCTCACTGGTTGATGTCCGCCTGGCCTCTGGGGGCTCTGACTTTGCTGTCTGAGGGGAGTGCCAGGCCTGGAGGCTGGGCTCTTCCCCTCCCTCCTGATGCCCCGCCCGGGTTCTCCCCTCCCCGACCCGCTCCCCCATGCAGTGGGTGCAGCCTGGCACCTCCTTGGCCCAGCCTATACTTGAGCGCCTGCCAGGTGTGTGGGGAGAGGCCGGGGGCTGCAGGCAGGCGGAGGAGGAGCCTGAGGGTTTGTAGCTCCCGCATGCTGTGTCCTGCCAAGTTCCTGGTCTCCCCTCCGTCCTGCCTGCAGCCTCAGCCGTGCTCCTGGCTCTTCAGAAGGGGTACAGGGTGGTTTGCTGATACCCCATGAGGTGGGGTGTAGGAGGAAGTCCCAGAAGGGCTCCCGGGGTGCAGTCTTCGCTTGGTTTGGTGTATGTAGGTGGGTGATTATTTCTCTTCTCTGAGTCTCTGGGTCTTCCTCTGTAAAATGGGGCTGTACTTCCCCCCGAAGGGCGGTCAGAGGATTGGAGGCTGGCACGTCAGCCTCGAGCAGGTGGGGGTCTGGGGATATCGTCGTGAGGACTGTTTCACGCCACGTTTGGCCTCCGATGCCCCTGCTTCCCAAGAGGCAGAGGAATGAGCAATGGCTGGGAGTGAGGCCTCTGGGCCACGGAGAGCGGGGCGAGCAGGCTGGACAGGTGTCCCTGTGGCCTTGTGGGCGTGCCTTACTGTCCCCAATCTCACAGAGGAGGGGACAGGCCCCATGGCCAGGCGGGAGGGGCTCACCTGGTGGGGTTGGTGTCTGAGAGATGGGGAAACCGAGGCTCAGAGAGGCCGGGTGACCTTGAGGGGAAGCCCCACACAGCCAGGCAGTGCCTGCCTCCTGGGCCAAGACCCTGAGCTGTGTTCCTGGGGAGGAGGAGAGGATCAGCTCATTTCTTATTTTCAGATGGCTTGGATTTTGTGTTAATTACAGAAATAATTCTCATTTATTATTAAAAAGCAGAAAAACCTAAGCAGTTAAGTGGGGGAGATAAACCAGAATCTGTACTCATTAATGTAACCCATTAGTGCACTGGTGTAGTCTTTCCAGATGATTTCTTGGTTTTTGTTTTTTTTTAACGTGTGACAAGAAGAAGAAAAATGAGTATCACGTTTCTTACTGTGTTTCGCTTACTTCCAGGCTTTGGGAGTAGAGGTGTTGGGTTTCCCAGACACGTATTGGGCTCATCCCAGCATTTGGTATAGTAGGAACCCTGACTGGTTTTCTCAGCCCCCCTCTTGCTGGACACTTAGGTTTTCTCCAGTAGTTCTGCAGTTAGATCTCTGCGCTAAGGAGCCCATAGCTAAGTCTTTGTACACATTAGGGATTCTTTTCTGTAGGGTGAATTAAGACGGGTCCACTTCTCACCTTGAAGGCTGGATGCAGGTTTGCGGTAGGGCTCTGTCTGGGGGCGTGGAGGTCTTGGGCGCCAAGATTGCCCCCCTCCTCCATAAACTGCTTTGCGGTCAGAGGATGAGACAGGGAGGGGCGCCCACTGGAAGGCTTTGCCAGGAGAGGGGTTAAGGTGCCGCCGTCCAGGCTGGCACTGGAAGCCTTTAAGCTCCTGGGGGGGAGGCGGGTGGAGCTGGAAGCGAAGAAGGTGGCCTGCGCGCCGGGCTGGTCCATGGTGGTGGCGCCTGCAACCCCGCAGCCTGTTCTGCTTCCACAGAGGGGCCTGGGGTCGTCTGTGCCCATGCTCAGGGGTCAGGTCAGGAATGTGTCCTTATGATTTGGGGGACCGGGTAGTGAGCGCTCCCCCACCCCTTCCAGGGAGCTGGGCTGAGACTGCTTCTGTGTTTCCAGCTCTGAGACTCCCTGGGAGCAGGGGGACGTTTTTCATCTGTAGGAAGGGGTTGGAAATGATACCTGCTCTGAGTGAGACTCAGATGAGAGAGCAGATGCCAGAGCGCTGACAGTGACCATGTTTCAGCATTTCATTATGGAAAAATGAAACACCCACGAAGGAAGACAGAATAGCATGCCTGCCCACACATACTCAGCCCTTAGATGCCACGGCTTCCAGCTCTGGGCCACCCTGGAGTCATCTCTGCTCCCACACACTTCCCCCTTCCAGACCTCATATCGCTTCATCTGTGAAAATGGTCGTACAGCCATCCCTCCTTTTGTTGTGCTTTGTAGGTAAATTCTCTGTGTGTGTTTTTCTTTCTTTCTTTTTTTTTAAACAAATTGAAGGCTTGTGGCCACCTTGTCTTGTCAGATGATGGTTTGCATTTTTTAGCAATAACGTATTTTAAAATTAAGGCATGTACGTTTCTTAGATATAATGCTGTTCCACACTTAACAGGCTACAGTCTAGTGTAAACATAGCATTTATATGCACTGGAAAACCAAAAAATTTGTGTGACTCACCTTGTTGACATATTTGTTTATTGCAGTGATCTGGAACAGAACCTGCATGCTGAGGAAGTATTCTTGTTTATATTCCTAAAAGAGGAGGAATAAAAAAAAGAAAAAAAACCACAGTATTATCTCCAATCTAAAACTTAGCAGTATTTTTTTAAAATTATAGCTTCCCAGTCAGTGTATTGTGTTCAGGTTTCCAGTTGTTTCATACAGGTCAAAAATAAAATTAGAAAAAAGTTTAGTTTTTAAAATCAGAATTCAAATGAGGTCTACATAATGGGATATCTTTAATGGGTTGATATCTTTCTCAAGTCTTCTTTCATCTGTAGTATTGATATTCATTCATTCTCTCTGTTGCGCCAGATGTTCTGCTTTTTTGATCTCTCTATAGTGATCAACATATTCTTTATCCACCAAACCTCCTATAAATTGGTAGTTGTGTCTCCAGCCTTGATCTACTTTAGCTTCAACTACCCCCACCCCTGAGTAGGAAATGGCAACCTACTCCAGTGTTCTTGCCTGGAGAATCCCATGGACAGAGGAGCCTGGTGGGCTACAGTCCATGGGGTCACAAAGAGTTGGACACGACTGAGTGACTTACAGCACACGCCCACCCCGCCCCACTGCCCCTGCAAGAGCACATTGGAGAGGGGGTTGCAGACTTCTGCTGGGAGGCTTGCATTGTCTGGGACAATCTCTTTTTGTAATCTTCAATGGCTTTGAGATAGTAGTATTTTTCATTATCATAAAAACCTTCCCTTTTCACCTGGTTACAAGTGGTGCTGAGTGAGTGGAGAACTTCCAGTCTCAGGCCATTGTTTTTCCTTATTCCTGCTTTTTTTCCATAGTAGTTGCTTTTCCCTATTAATCTTTTAATTACATGGGTAGTATATTTTTATTAGAGAAAATTGGAAAACAGGCATGAACAAGAAAAGTATGAAATTAAAACTGTGCTGAATTTTATCACCTAGTGATAATTCCTAAGATTTGGAGTATATCCTTTCAGACTTTCTTGTGTTAAAAAAAAATACACACACACACACACATGCACACGTATGTGCATCTGTGATACTGTTAAATGAAAGGTGGAACATTACCCGCGGGTCTGTTTTCACCTTGTGGCATCTCTATAACTTCCTCCCCAGGATCTGGGGAGGGACATGGTCTTTCTCCCTGTTGTTCAGTGGTTCACACCAGGCAGGGTGTGGGGAAGGACAGGCAGCTGCGGGTGTAGCCCAGCTGCCAAGTTTTTCAAAGGAAATAAGGACTTTTGGTTGGCAGGGCAGTTGCTTTCACATCTGTTCTTTTAGGATTCTCTGCAGTTGCTTAACACACTGTGACCTGGCCTACCCCTTTCCTTGTCCAAAGTCCTGTCCCGGAGGCCTGGCAGAGGCTGGGGCCGGCAGGGGAGGGGTCATGGGAGCCAGCCCCCTGCCTTCTGGTAGGCTGTGCCACCAACAGGATGCAGGGTTGTTCATCTGTCCTTGTCTGGCATTGGACCTGGGGCAAGCAGCAGCTGTTTAGATCTCTACACAGGCGGGACAGTGGCTCAGGGAGCTGACTTTGGGAGCAAAGATGCTGTTTACTTCTTAGCACATGTGTTTTTTTTGGAGTGGTTTGGTGGCTCACCCCAAGTCAACCCTTAGGACCACCACTGATTAGGAGTGAAGGCCCTTGTTCCATCTTGTAACTTGGAGGATGTAAGTGAAGGAGGGAGCCAGAGCATCTCCATGTTTCCCTCCTGGGCAGGGAAGGGATCTTAGCACATCTCTGAGTCTGCAGTCAACCGAGAAGAGATGAAGGCAGAGGCGCAGGAGGTGAGTCGCTGCAATGGAATGCAACCCCCCCAGGCCCCAACCCAGCAGTGTGAAAAGTCCCATCTGGGAGGAGGTGAGTGACAGGACCACAAGCTTGTGCCTGTCCCAGCGAGGCTGTCTCCTTGGGGATCTCACTTTGGTCCCCCTGGCCCAGAGCATGGAAGAGCTGAGGGCCTGAAGGAGGGGCGGCCGGCAGACCTGATGCCAGTACTGGGCCAGGCTGCTCTGTCTTCCCAGGCGAGTGAGTGCTGCTGTCTGCAGAGAGTGGGTTCTGTTCTTCTGCTCTGCATTCTTGTTAGAAGACTTCGGGGGCAGATCAGTTTGGCAGAAATGTCACAAAGGCCTCTTGAGTACCTAGTGTTGGGGGTGGGGGTGCGGTGGTCTGCTGGAAGAGAAGAGGTGACCCCTTACCCCCCGTCACTCCCGATCAGGTAGGGGTGCTGCAGTGACAGTGTATCAGTCCAGTCTTGACGGGGGCTGGAGGAGGCGCTTCCGAGGTGGCTCAGTCATGTGGGTGGCAGGTCGATGCTGGCTGTGGGCAGGAGTCCTCCTTTCTCACCACAGGACTGCTCGAGGGTCCTCACGACATGCTGGCTGGCTTCCCCTAGAGTGATTAATCCCAGAGGGAGCAAGGTGGAAGCCGCAGTATCTTTCATGACTTCAGAAGGCAAGCATGTGATGTCTGCGGTATTTTGTTGGTCACCCAGGTAATGTGGGAGGGCACTATACAAGGGCGTGGACACCAGGAGGCAGGGGTCACTGGGGCTGCCTACCACCGTGGCGCCTGCAGCTTCCAACTCTTATTCTCCGATCCTAGTGAAATGAGAGCATCTTTTTTTTTTTTTTCCATTGAGTTCTTACAAAAGTTCCAGAATTGAGCATTTTGAGTCACCTGCCCATTCCCCAGTGGACACAGACCAGAAGCCCACCCCTGACGGGCTGACTCCCCGTGGGAACAGGAAGCTGTTACTGGATGTGGAAGCTATGGAAGGAATGTGACAGTGTGTATCCTCCTAGCAAAGCCCTGTGGTCCAGAGGAGGTGATGATGGGACATTGCTTCCGGAAAGGTAGCATTTGTCCTTGTCTTGGCAGGATGAGTAGCATTTTAACCCCAAGTGGCAGAAAGGCCTGAGCTAGGGCATGGCAGGGTGAGGCAGCTGGATCGTGGGGTCACGGGAGATCAGGCTGGAGAGATGACTTGGGCCAGGCCTGGGTGTGGGTCAAGAGGAGGAGCCCAGATTTGACTCAGGAGATACTGAGAAGCCATGGAAGGTCTTTGACCAGGGCAGACATGCAATAGAGCCAGGATCTGGAGAACACCCTCAGTCTGGCCTTCCTTGTCTTCAGCTATAATTGAGCACTTACTGTGTGCACTACACATGTTTCTCACTTAACCCTCACAGCCTCCCACAGAGTTGGATGACGTCATCCTGACTTTACGATGGGCCAAGGTAATGTGACTGGGCCAAGGTCCCTCGATGGGGACTCTGATTGCAGAGCTCTCAGCCTCTTCATCCCGTATTCATGGGACAAGGACTGTCATGAGAGTGAATCACCATGCTGATTGCTCGGACCCTTCCCAGGGCTCCTCTGGGGTGTGGTGACTCGCGTATGGATGGTTTCCATGTCTACACTCCCTCTCAGACATCTGCCTGGGGTGCTGTGGGCTTTCTTCCCTAGGGGGAAAGGCTTGACATCTGGGTTTGTCAGATGGGGCCAAACTATTTGCTCAGCACTCAGCGTTATTTGTCCCTTGGCCGACTGCCAACCGTGTCTGCTTGTTTTCGCTGCAGTTTTATTCCGTCTTGCCCACCATTTCACGGCCTTGCCACTCTCTCGTGTGGGGGCTGGGGGCTCCCACTCACCAGCCAGGCGCTGACTAGGCCGTCTCCCTGGCCTGAGACGCCCTGTCGTGGGCCTCTTTCTCCTCTCGGCGGGTGAGGTCTCTCTCCCCAGAGCTCTGGACCGCGCATCTCACCTTCAAGGATGCCCCCCCAGATCTTTGTGCCACATCATCGGTGGGCACATCTCAGCCTGGAGCTTGCCTGGCAGGGGGCTGTGTGCATGTCAGGCTTGTGTCCCCAGCACCCCAGCGGGGTCCTGCCCACAGGGAGGAAGTGGGGGGTGTTGCAGAGTGAGCGGAGAGGGGCGGGTTGTGCCAGAAACCAGCCTTACCTGCCCGAGGCTGAGGAAGCCCACAGCTGCCTCTCCTTGGGGGGAGTTTCTCCAGGGGGAGCAGCCTGTCTCCAGGGAGGGTCATGATGTGAGTGATTGAAAGCACCAGGCGTGGAGTAATTCTGGCTCTTCCCATTGTTGTTTTTTTTCCAGCTGTGTGTGCTTGGGCAAGTGAGTTGCCTCTCTGAGTCTCAGTTTTCTGTCTACAGAATGGGCATGATAGCAGGACCTCCTCCCGAGGCTGGGCTTGGTGCCCAGCACACAGTGTTTAAATGCTGACCCCAGGTCCTGCCTGCTGGGACCTCGCAGTTGGGGTGAGGGGTGGGGTGCCGAGTGACCAGTGACAGCAGCAGGCCGGCAGGGAAGCAGGGGAGAGTGCCTCCTCTGGGGAAGGAGCTGGAGGGGAGACCTGGGGAGGGTGAGGCTGGGAAAATTGGGCTGCATTCTCTTGTCTGGAGGAGGAAATGACAACCCACTCCAGTATTCTTGCCCGGAGAATCCTTTGGACCGGGGAACCTGGTGGGCAAAAAGTCGGGTATGACTGACGCGACTTAGCACGCCCTTCTTTGTTACCGAACGATACGATTTACTGTCAGGATACAAGGTAGAAAATGACCCCAGGTCCCCGTGTCATGTTCAGGGGACTCCCTGTGGACCAGGAGGTGCTTCCCCCTCCGTTTGGGGCCGTCTCTTCGCCCAGCTCCCTTCCTATCTCCTGCCACACTGCTGAGCACCCCACCATTCCAGAAGGGAAGCTGAGGCCTGCAGTGGAAGAGGAAACTGGAGCTCAATTTGTGGCTTCCAGGGATGCAGGAGTGCTGAGGTTCTTTGAAAACTCTTTGGAATAGGGATTCCAAGCCGGTTGTGGGGGGGCGGGTGTGGGGAGGGGCAGCTGTGAGATGGAGAGGCGGCAAGCCAGACTGGAGACCTTTGACCTCTTGGGCCATCCCCTTTCAGAGTGGTTTGAGGCCCCCTCGATGTGTGGGTGGGGAAACTGAGGCTTAGGGCCCTGTGTGAGAGGCGGAGCCAGGAAGAGGCTCCCTGGCAGGCTTCTGTTGCTTCAAATTGCTCATTAAGGTGCTGGGCTTCTAATGCAGGCTTTGGGTGCTTGTTTTATTTTTACTTTATGAAAATGGTTCCAGTTTGAAGCTTCCAGTTTCCATGAGGTCATTGGAGCCAGGAGCCTGGCCTGACGGCTCCCCCGACTCCTGCGAGGACTCTTGCTGTGACTGGGAGAGGGGGCCCCCGCCCCGCACACCCCGAGAGGCGCTGAGCTGAGGGTTCAGCGTTGGCCTTTCTGTTGCTCCCACCGCCAGAGCAGGAAGTTGTGGGTCCAGATGTGACTCACTCTCATTAGGTAGCCGGTGGAAGGAGCCTTCACGTGTGCTAGTCTGGACGCTGGCCAAGGAGCGGCAGGCGACGGTCACCTCCGAGCAGGCTCTGCCCCTGGCCCAGCTGCTGGGGGGCCCCTGGAGGAAAGCCAGGTAAAGAGGGCCAAGGGGATGGGGCGCCATCTGTCCTAGAGGCCTGGGGCCCCCTGGGCAGCACCCCTCCCCACCCGGCAGGCCTGGCCGGGGCGTGGATGAACACGGGCTGGACTGCAGGTAGGGGAGGCTTTGGATGGCCAAAGCCAGGTGTGGGGGCTCCTGGACAGGGTCACTGATGTGTCTCAGCCTGACGAGAAGCTGCTGTTACGACCGTGGTGGTGGTCACTTGGCGCGGTCCCGCTAGACTGCCGTGAGCCTCAGACTCTTGGCTGTCCACATTGCTTTTCAAGGTTGTCGTTGTACATTTACAAGCACACTTTACTTTTGTCAGTGAAAGTCAAAGTGAGCGGGGGAAGAGCAAATGAATTTATTTTGTTAGATTAAAAAAACAACAAAAAAAGAAATAAACCCAAACCACACTCTGAAAGTGACGCATGCCCAACAGACAAAAAACCAAGATGCCTCAAGAAAATGGATGAAACAGTCTCTCTTTCCCTCCAAGTCCTCTCAGCCCAAAGCTCCGGGACTCCCAGTGTGGACCTTGGGGAGTGGGTCCTTCTGGTTCTTTCTGCTCATTTATCCAGACATGCACAGACATGCACAGACAAAAGCAAGCGTCTCTTGTCCGTGTCATCACATGGGGGTGAGGACAGCGGGCCCTGTGGGCTTCCTGCCCCTGGCCAGCCCTTAAGGGAGGGGACTGGGAGGGGGAGAGAAAGCGGAGCCCTGGGCTGGACCTCCAGGAGACAGACCCTCTGGCCCCAAGGCCTGGACGGATGGCCGCAGCCCAGACAGGCTTTGCCTGCAATAGCTGTGTGACCGTGGGCCGTCACCGGCTCTCTCCGCCACAGACACGCAAAGGGGACGACGTGAGGGGTGACAAGACCATCGTTTCTCAGGGCGGGGGCCCTGCTCCTCAGATGGTTTTAGCCATGTGGGTGAACGTGCTTAAAATGTAGGTGTTCGTTTTAATGTATTTCAGAAAAGAGGAAAAAAAAAAATCTGTAAATAGGACCTGTGACTTCATGCATGTATTTTTGGCTTGGACAGGGCTAAAGAAGACACAGAAACGAAACGGGGAGACTTAAGAGGAAGTGTGGTGGGATTGGCTCCACAGGAAGTGTGGGCGTCCAGGGGGTGCGGAGTCTGGAAGGCTCATCCGAGTGCCCTCCTTTCTGACCCGGCTGTGGGCCTCCCCCCTCTAGATGGGCCCTGGGCTTCCTGGAGTTTTCCTGCAGCTCCGGCTGTGGGGGAGGAGGACTCTCAGGTTGTACGGCCTCTCCCCTCCGCGGGGAATGTGTGAACTTCGTGGGGGAGTCTCCAGGGGTAACTCGCTGAAAGCAAGTGACTGTTTGCTGGCGGCCGTTTTCCCAGGGTTGGGGGTAGGGGTGAAGGGCAGTCATGGGGTCT